CGGGTGTAGACAGACACGACGAGTGAGACGTGCACCGTCTGGGGGATGGGCACGCTTGAGGCTCTGACTCGAGGGGGGAGTGGGGCAAGGGCAATGTACGTGACCTTGACATTTGTACCCCCATCATATGCTGAAATAAAAAAAATTTTAAAAAATTTAATTACTAAAAAAAAAACACACCCCAATGCCACCCCCACCTCCAGTCCCTCAAGGGGCTTCTCTGCGGGTTGGTGGCGAGACAGGAGGGTGTGTGAAGACCCCCCAGTTCTGAGCTGGGTCTCGGTGCTGCCGGCTCCGATCGTCTCCCTCATTCTCTCCTTCCTTGGCTTCACCACAGAGGTTACACTACTCGCTAACACTGCACCTCACGCTTGACGCCCTAGACCCTCCGCGTTCCCTCGGTCTCACGTGTCTTGCCTTCAAAGCATCTTCACAACGAAGCCCAGTTTCACAGACAGGGAAACTGAGGCAGCAGCACTTGGCAGAGGTGAGCTCCAAGCTCAGAGGAGTCTGATTTCTGGCCCCGGGCCCTGGATCACCAGTCGATCGATAATGAAACTGTCCTTTAAACTGGAGTTTCCATGCACGGTGCATGCAAATATTCTTTATTATTATTATTATTATTGTTGACACAGAGTCTCACTCTGTCGCCCGGGCTAGAGTGAGTGCCGTGGCGTCAGCCTCGCTCACAGCAACCTCCAACTCCTGGGCTCAAGCGATCCTCCTGCCTCAGCCTCCTCCCGAGTAGCTGGACTACAGGCATGCGTCACCATACCGGCTCATTTTTTCTATATATATATTAGTTGGCCAATTAATTTCTTTCTATTTATAGTAGAGATGGGGGTCTCGCTCTTGCTCAGGCTGGTCTCGAACTCCTGGCTCAAGCGATCCTCCTGCCTGCGGCTCCACAGAGTGCTAGGATGACAGGCGTGAGCCACCGCGCCCGGCCTCATCCTCCTGTTTCTGGTGAACTGGGAGTATCCCGCTGGCATCCTGAACTCGGCAAACGGTGCATGAAAATATGTCTTTATTATTATTATTATTGTTGACACAGAGTCTCACTCTGTCGCCCAGGCTAGAGTGAGTGCCGTGGTGTCAGCCTCGCTCACAGCAACCTCGACTCCTGGGCTCCAGCGATCCTCCTGCCTCAGCCTCCTCCCGAGTAGCTGGGACTACAGGCACGCGCCACCACGCCGGCTAATTTTTCTGTATCTATATTTTTAGTTGTCCAGCTAATTTCTTTCTATTTTTAGTAGAGATGGGGGTCTCGCTCTTGCTTAGGCTGGTCATCCACACCCAACCGTACAGCCGCGTTCTTGGTTTCCAGACTCACGCGGACGGCACCCTCGACCCTTTCAGCCTCCCGGGTCCCGAGCCTCAGAGTTGCGTCCAACCTTCCCCTCCTCTCTGAGAATTGCAAGTCCACTGCTAAGGCGTAGACGGGCTGTCTCTTGGGCATTCCTCCCACCTGGGCTCTTCATTCTTATTTTGCAACCTCTTCCTCGTTTTGGTCATTAATTCGCTTTAGTATAAGCCTAAAAAAAAATCTTTCAGTGCCCTAAACGGCTCGCAGAGCTCTGCCCCCCTGCCAACCGAACGCCATTTCTGTCGCGGCGTAACGAATTTCCACAGACTTAAAAGAGGCTTTAAAACAACACCCGTGTTTCATCTCTAGGTGGGCTCCCGGCTTGTGGTTCCAGGTGAGGCTCTGGGTGGAAACCCTCTTCCAAGCTCATTCCAACCTGGGCAGAATCCAGGTCCTTCCGTGCGGTTGTAGGGCCTGAAATCTCATTTTCTTTTTGTTTTTTTTTTCTTTTTTTTTCTGGATGTTAGCCAGGGCCCCTCAGAAGCTTCTAGAAGCCACCTGCCATCTCCGCCCTGTGCTACCTCCCACCGTTGGGAACGTTTTGCCCAGAGGCTCGGTCCTGTTCTGTGTCCTTAAATAGGACAAGAACCAGGCAAGCATCCGAGGCGTCCAGTCTGAATCGGAAAGAGGGGGACGGACGTGTCGCTGCGTCTATTCACCTCTTTTCGTGCACGCAAGCGTCTTGAAGGCAGGGACTGCCTCTCGACTTTTTAGTCGCCCTGCAATTTCCTTCACGAATTATTTGCTGAACTGAATCCAAATGTCACCCAGACGGTGACAAGGAGGAAGGCTGTCCGATCCAGCGTCTCCTGCCAGACACATCTGTTTTCCCGTATAAACGTGCAGAAGAAAAAAAAAAAAAATAATAATAATAATAACGCGGTCGTATTCCTAAAGCACAAAATAATTCGATGTTAGCCTTTGCTCATTTCATCTTTTTTTTTTTTGTTTATTTATTTATTTTGTTGTTGCTCTGAAATCATTGCAAGTGCTTCCGACTCAGGCGCTCTTTAAAATGTTAATGACGTGGAAATTAAATGTGACTAAAACAAATATACTGAGGGATGGGAATTAGTCAGCTCCTCGGGGGCAGAAACTGAGAGGTTTGTATGTTTTTCAATCGCCCATAGTCACGGGACCCAGACAAAACCAACCTCAGTATTTTGGGGTGTGTTTTCCCGGTCTCCTTTTTTTCTACGCCCTGAGGCATAGAATACTTTCACGTGCTGATATCTTTATAACCGTATATAGCATTTTGATTCTTTTTTCCTATTTAGTTAAAAATAAACAAATTCTATTGTTAGGGGACTGGGCCCCTTTTTATGCTATTTTTTTTTATTCCGGCTCATAACTAGCATATCAGAACAACATGAAAACGCATAAGGCTTTGTGACTAATTGACACAGTCGTGTTTTCCCCTTGAATTATTCGATTCCACGTTTACTGCAAATTTCTACTGATCACGGTGCTGTGAGGATTTTCTTTATTTTTTTGAGACAGAGTCTCGCTCTGCCGCCCGGGCCAGAGTGAGTGCCGTGGCGTCAGCCTCGCTCACAGCAACCTCCGACTCCT